GGTCATTCCCCTCTTCCCTCTGCCCGGCCTCCCCTCCACAGGTCTCCGGGGTTTGCCGTCCTGCCTCCTTCCTCTTCCTCTCCTCCCCTCCCCAGGTCCTCGCCTTCTGTGTCACATTCTGTTGGTAGGTGAGGGCAATGCTCTTGAACTCAGAAAGTCAGAGCAGTCAAGGAGGAAACCAGTCGCTTGTTGGTTGTTTTGTGTGTGCAATTGTTCTGAAGTTCAACAGCTTCCTGAGCTGAAGGTATCCGTGTACCAGACGGGCCTGCTGGGGCACCCACATACCAGTGAGGGTGCAGACTGTACGTGCACACGCTGGTGTGTAAAATAGTGGGAGGAAGCGAGGCAAGATGAGGCAGGGTGTACCTGCGGTGGTCAGGTAAGGTCTCTTCGAGGTGCCTTTTAGACCTGAAGCTGGTTGTGGGGGGGAGCCATGAGGGTGTCTAGGAGGAGTGGTCTAGGTGGGAGAAGCAGCAAGTGTAAAGGTCCTGAGGCAGGTCTGTGACTAGGGTGTTTAGGGACAGTGAAGAGGCCTGGGTGGCTGGACCTGAGTGGATGAGGGGGAGAGAGAGGGGTATGAGGTCAGGGCGGGTAGGTGTGGGACTGTGATGCCTTGAGGGCCCAGGTAAGGGCTTCCCCTTTACCCTGCAGGGGAGCAAGGGGTGGTGCCCGGTAGGGTTGGGAGGGGTGGGGGAGTCAACATGAGCAGGAACTGGCACCCTCTGGTGGCCATGTGGGGAACAGACCGTGAGGGCAGAAGCCCACAAACCAGGATGGAACAGCCCGGGATCTGGGCGGTGGCGGTGAAGGGGGTGAGAAGTGGCCTGAGGGTGGCGCCTCCAGCAGGGCACCGACTGAGCCAAGCATCTCCAGGGAGATGTGGAAGCAGGCTCCTTACTGCCGTCACCTGTCCCTCCCCAGGCCAACGAGGGCGTGCCCATCTCCGTAGGGGACAGTGTCTTTGTGGGAGGTAAGGGCCTGGGGATGGGGAGGGTGTGCGGATGGATCCACTAGGGCTGGGGAACGTGTGTCCCCAAGGCTGCTGGTGGACGCGGGGGTGTGTCCCCTGTGTTCCAGACGCAGCCGGACGCCCAGCCAACTGGGCCCCGGGGCGGAAGAAGAAAGACTTCTCTTGTGCGGACCGTCTGGTGAGGCCCCCCGTCCCCTGCCCGCCTGGAGCCGCGTCCCCACCCTGTCTGACCTCCGCGTCCCCCGCCTCCTCTCCCAGTTTGCCCTCAACCTTGGCTTGCCCTTCGCCACACCGGAGGAGTTCTTCCTGAAGTGGCCCGTCGCCAGCTTTGTGCTCCCCACCTTTGACCCGGTGAGGCCCTCGGGGAGGGAGTGGGGGGGGGGAGGGGGGAGGCGGGAGTCACACTCATCACGGCCACCCCTCCCAGAGAACCGTCTCCCCCTCGGGGCCGCTCTACCTCCCTGAGGCCAGCTCCCTCTTGAGTCACAGCCCTGAAGTGGTGGTCGCCGTGGGATTTCCTGGGGGTGAGACACCTGACCCCCTGACATCCGGAAGCCCCAGCCCCTCTCTGGGTCCTCGGGCGCCCCCTGATCCCGTCCCCCGCTTCACAGCTGGCAAGACCACCTTCCTGCAGGAGCATCTCGTGTCGGCTGGCTACGTCCACGTGAACCGGGTGAGACACCCACGCCCCAGGCCGAGGGCCGTGCTGCCCGGCCCCTCGCTCGCTTTCCCCTCCTTACTGGGTTGCCGATTCCCCTCCAGGTCTCCGTGCCGCCTCGCAAGGCCTCCCCGCCCCTGTCCTGGTGCTCACTCCCCACTTCCGTCTGGGTCTCTGTGCCTCTTCTGGGTCCCTGCGTGCCCC